TCTCCTACTTTGGAGGTCTTTAAACAGAGGCTGGATGGCCATCTGTCAGGGATGCTTTGATTTTGAGTTCCTGCATGGCAGAATGGGGTTGGGCTGGATGGCCCTTGGGGTCTCTTCCAACTCTATGATTCTATGAATTAAAAATTGCAGGCTTTCTAATAGGTGCCTATGCTTGAGAATGTTCCTTTTAGAAATTACAACTTCCAGAGTCCCCCATCCAACATGAGGTGGCCCTGCTGGCTGGACAGTTCTGGGAGTTGTAATCCACAATGTAACTTTCCCAAGCTCTGGGTGTGATGATAACTGCTGAAGGGAGAGTCTAGGACTGGGCAACTGTGGTCATCCAGCTGTTTTCAGGTGGCATCTCCCACAATGCCTTACCACTGCTCCACTGGCTAGGCTGGCAGATGTTGGAACATCTGGAGGACTACACTTGCCCACCTTTAGGTTAGAGAAATGCATGCAGGAGGAGGATCTATCAAAGGTTATTAGTTCTACTCTTTTTATGGAACCTCTATATCCAGAGGCAGTGTACCACTGAATACCAATTACTAAGGAGTGAAAATCAGAAATAGGGAGTTTATCACACAAGATTTATCTTGTGCAGAAACAGAATTTTAAATGGGGAAATCCTGCAAAAGCGGGATCATTTTCACACAATGTCGGACATTAATGAGCACAGAAAGTGGACAAATCCCGCAAAAGTGGGATCGTTTTTACACAACGTCAGGGGCATTGAGTATTAACGGGAAATAACCCACACAGAAAGCAGACAAAATTGGCCTCTTTTTACTTTCGGGATTCTCCTGAAAGTAAAAAGCAGCTGATTTTGTCCACTTTCTGTGTGGGTTATTTTCCCATTAATACTCAGTGTCTCTGATGAGTCTGAAAACGATCCTGCTATTGCAGGATTTTTCTGGGATTTAAGTCTCATTTCTGCACAGGATTTAGGCACTAAGTCTCCTGTGTGATAAACTCCTAGATTTTGCCTTCATGCCTGATTTTGAGCAGCCTGTAGGTATCTTGCAGGCTACCATGAAAAGAGAGAAGTTGCACTAGTTCAGACCTTGGAAAAGTTACTTTTCTGAACATTCAGCTCCCATGATCTCCTGGCCAGTGGTTATACTTGATTGAACCAAAACGTCTTTTCCTAGATTCTCTGAGAAATAAACCTTTGCTTTGACCACAAGGAGTATTTTTTTGATAGGACAGAAAACGGGAACTAGAAAGCAAGAAAAAGCCAGAAAACGATTTAGTCCAGCATCACTGTATAGTGTTTTACCCTTGGGAGCATCCAGGAGTTAATCTGAAAGGGCTCACTTGCGCCCAGACAAGAAACATCTCAAATTAGAGATACATCTTGTAGTAGAACTGGAGAGTCCTAGTATGGTGTAGTGGAGCCATGGTTCTCAAAGTGGTGATATTTTTGGATTAACAGCTAAGATCATTGGTTCCCTGCCTCTCCCAGGTTACTGCAATTCCTTCTGAGCTTAGTTGCAACCTTCACAGTAGCTGGAGCGAAAACTCTTGAGATTTACTTTGTTAACTTTAGGACAAAATGTTTCTTACTGGTGCTGAGAAAAGAAACTCCTGGAAAAATCTTAAACCAGACTCTCCTCTCCCAATGTAAAATACCTACATGCAAATGAATCACACAGCTGTCTATATTTTTACTCTTTTCAGGGATATTTCTATGAGCAATGCCATACTGAGCCCCTGAATCTCCAAAATTAGCCCTGCACCAGCGATCTGTCCAGTTAGAAAATCTTGACTGGCAGATTAAAACATGGATCATATCTTCCTAGCACCCTTCTATATGTGGGTTGTAACTGATGGAAATCTGTTCTAGAACTTGCTCCCAAGTTGGTCATAGATCTATCCATTTGGAAATCCTTCTGAAGTTTGTTGTCATCCCTGATTTGTGCAAATCCCAGTGGCATTTGGTGCTTTGCCTGTCTGTGGAGCAGTAAAACCACTTCAGGATTTAATCCAGACTTTAATCCAGGTGCCTAAATACATTCAGCACCTTGGACAGCTGCTTTAAAGCTCACCAAAACCAAGAATATTTTCACTGCCCCACGGAGATGGGAGCCACCAGCCATCACTAAATAAAACCATTTGCAATGTACTACGACCATCCCTCCATTTTCTCCTCCACTCTGTTAGGGTTCATCTCAACCTTATTGGGATAGTTGTGTGAGTTTGTAATCTCAAGACAAGGACCAACCAAACTGGAATTTTTTTACCCTTCTAGGCTGGTGGTGTCGCTTCCGGCTTCCGGCACGTGGTTCCTAACGAAGTGACCGTCCAGCGACTCTTCCAAGTCAAAGGCAGGCGGACGGCACGAGCGACAGAGGTCCCCGTCAGCTGGGACAGCTTCAATACTGGCGATTGTTTCATCTTGGATTTGGGCA